TTTTGTGATGTGTCTTGTATCCCAGAGTCAAGAGTTTCATGGCATAGAGTTAAGTCATTAATCAATAGTTTCTGTAACTTGCATGGTTTTTCTTAAACCTAAGTTCACTTGCTTACTACTGAGACAAAGTTGTGGGGTTTTGTGTGTGGGGATTTGGTTTTTGGGGTTATTTCTCCTGGAACAGTCTGTCTGCAGCCTAAGGAATTTATTTGCTTTTACCTATTGGGTGGTATAAACTCAGAATTCTACTAGATACAGAAACGGGAATAAGATCTAATGGCTTCTTTTGGTTATTCTGAACCCATCTTCATGGGTTTTTTGAACAGATCCTAGCAAATGTTTCTTGCATTCTCTCCTATACTACTACAGAAAATCAACTGGTAGTGCTGAAGGACAACAGAGCAAAATATCTGAGTTTCTATAAATAGCTTTAAAGGGTAAAAAGCTAAAGGTTGACAGATTAAAATAGGGTGATCCAAGTACAGCCTGTGGATGTAGGTCAGTGTGATCTACTGATTAGGTATTACTGAGGTGAGGGTTCATCACCTAGTGGCCATAACTTTGTGCTCTCTGTAGCCTGAGATGAACAGACAGTGCGTCAGACTTCCTACAAAAACATTTAGGTGTTAGTGGGCTTCAGTGTTCAGGAGAACAAAACTGGAATAACAGGTCTAGTAAGAATAATTCTTTTTCAAGGTAAAGTATTTTGTCTGCCTACTGACTTATTTGGATTTTTAAACTACAGCAAGCATAGCTGACCACCATCTCATCATGCCTACTGAAGCCGAAACTACAACTAGCAACAGCCAGCCTGAGCAACAAGCTCCACCAAAAGCACAACCATCAAAGAAGGAAAAAAAGAAAGGTAAGAACTGCTTACATCTTGAACACCTCTAGTCAGTGTCCTTAATCTCTTGCAGTTGCCCAATATGAAGATCACTCTCACAGAAGAGTTAAAATAACTCTCTGAGGTTTTAAACTGACTGGAAGAGTGAGTAAATAAACTAGTACAATAAACGTAACTAGAAGATAGGCTTTTAGCTTGGAAGGCTTTATTTCCAGCTTTAATTCTAAAGCTGTCAGTTCCACTTGTTAAATGACTCATTTGTTGAGCCTTATAAGTCTTCAAGAGGCCAGAGAAGTGAAAGCCTCCTGAGGAGGTGACCAGACCCAGGACCATCCAGGTAGCTGTCAGTCTGAACTTGCTTCCTTCCTTCCCTATAGAGAGGGAGTGATGTGCTGGACACAGATAGAGGTTCTAGTTAAGAGAAGCTAGAAAAAAAAACCATGAAATGAGTTATTGTAGATCAGAGGGTTTTTTTATAGATTAGGTCATGTAAATATACATACAAAAATATATACCTAGGTACACACTTGAAGTATGTTAAGCATGCAGAGAAGTAGAGGGAACAGCAGAAATAGCAAATTAGCTAAAATCCCAAGGGATTACAGGGACAGGAGTGCCAGAACTTGTATAAATGATTGGTGCTGTAAGTTCTAGCACAGGAACTATTTTATTCTTGCACACCAAGAAGAGATCTGATTACACCAGAAATAGGGACTAACATATGCAAGAGTTACTGAACCTCCTGGATGGCAATGGAAGTACCGTTTTTACTTGGTGTTTTTGCTTAGCACATATGTCTACCTGGCTGTTGCCTTTAAATATTTCAGTCTTTTATGTGGTAAATGATTGTTCTGAAGTCCCCCGATATTAATCACTGGGCTCTACTCTTTGAACCAAGCCCAGATTCTGCAACAGCACTGTGACCTTAGAGTGCACTACCTTGCAGTGCACATAGTGCTGGAAAGAGTAAGTGGTGTTAGCTGCATTGAAGGGACAGTTTCAATATGTGTTTTTCTTTTATAAGATCTCAAAGCTACAACACAGGCATTTCTTTAACACAACTTTATCTGCAGGGACAGAAAAGACAGATGAAGCTCTATTGGCCAGATTTAAAGGAGATGGTGTAAGATACAAAGCTAAACTGATTGGCATTGACGATGTCCCAGAGGCAAGAGGAGACAAAATGAGTCAGGATTCAATGATGAAGCTGAAGGTAAGGGCTTGAGCTGGCATGTAAGGAACAACTGGGTAGCCTTCAGAAAGCAGATCAAATGATCACTTTGGCATAACTTCAAATACAGCTTAATGGTGACATAGTAATAACAGCACCATCCAGGATGTTCTAAAGCTGTAACCCCTTGCTCAAATGACAGTGTTTCTCTAATAGATTGGGAATGCTCCTTTTGACTCTTGTAGGTGTTGAGTATGGATGCTAATGGTATGAACTTGATCACAAATAGAGACCTATATTTGGGAAAGGCTGGGTTGGGGGGAGAACTGTGCGATTTTACACAGACCTCAAAGCAGAAGTTGGCATCCTGTGGCAATACTGGCACCAAGAGACACATAAGCCAAAGAATAAATGAGGCCCTACAGCAGCAAAGATGATTACTTCTGGAGTGCAGAACACTTGCATAGTTTCAGTTAGGCCAGGAAAGCTTGTAAAGATGCTGCTGCTGCAGTAGTTTTGTGAACTAAGGCAAGAAGTTGTAAAGCTCCAACATTTACAGAGGAAACACCTCAGGACTGGATTGTATCACTTCAAACCTAGTTAGGTGCATGTTGTTGTTCTAACTGGAGAGTTAAAACTGTTCAGTTGCACAGGAATAACTAGATTAGCACTAGTGCAGCCATAGCCATGGGCTCTTGACAAATGTAAGGAAACAAGTTATAGCTCAATCTAACAGAAGTCTCATCGGTACTTTGATATTCATCCTCTAGGGAATGGCTGTAGCAGCTCGTTCCCAGGGTCAACACAAACAGAAGATCTGGGTGGACATCTCCCTCTCTGGCATCAAGATAATAGATGAGAAAACTGGGGTAAGATATGACTTTCTCTTAGTATCACATCAAGAGAACAAGGTGCTTGGAAGTTAGACTTATCTGAACTAGATTTCTTGATGGCATCATGCCCCACTTCCACATATAAGAACTGGTTTGTAACCTGTGTTGTAATGCTGAAACCACCTGCCAGAAAGATAGCTACATCTTATTTTGGTTAGTCAAAGGCTAGTAAATCAGAGTCTTGAACTGAAGCCTTCTAACTGACTCAATTCTAACTACAGAGGGGCAAATATTATGTCTCCAGCAATTTAAACCAATAGTTTTTCCCATTTCTAGGTTATAGAGCATGAGCATCCAGTAAACAAAATCTCCTTTATTGCTCGGGATGTAACAGACAATCGTGCTTTTGGCTATATATGTGGAGGAGAAGGCCAGCACCAATTTTTTGCCATAAAAACAGCGCAACAGGTATGGATCAGACACCGTTTTCAACTTACCATGAGTAATGATGTTGTGTAAATACTTATGTTAAAGGTGTGGTGTTTGGCTGGTAGCCTTATGAGGTATAGGAGCATACCAGCACAGAAGGATAGGCTCTTCTTTTAAAGGAGGGTAGTAAAAATTGATTGTATCACCAATGGCTTTTATCTTGTTCAGCTTCTCTGTATTCCAGAATAAACACTCAAGTAGCCTTGCTTAACATGTCCATGCGCTATGGAAGTCTTTAGTGAGATGGATGGAGCTGTTATCATGGGCTTTCCTGTACAGTGGTCTGTCAGTGAGAATGCTAATTCTTAAGTCAAATAGCCAGACCGTTACTCAGGATTAACAGGAATTATGTTAGAACTCCACTTTGTCTTGTGCAGCAGTGATAACATTTACTCAATTGCAATATGCAGAGTTTGCCTTTCAGAAAGGAATCTGTACATAAGCAGTATTGGTAACCAGCTACTTGAAATTACTTCTGGGTATTTTGCAGGTTCCTGAATGACCTGCTTAAGTTAGATATTTATCTTTTATCTTGTCATTATAATGTCTTTGTATTAGTCACTACAGTGACTTGGTGAGCCAAGATTTCAAAGCTTTATATGCATCCCTGCCTGCCTGCCCCCCTGGAGAACCTGGTGGCAGCTCCTGACCCACTACAGATGGGGCTGAGGGGCTCCTTGTTGGAGCATATTACAACTTTAGTAACAGTTATAACACCCTCTAAGCCTGTTTTATTAGTTTTATCAGAGTTGTGTTTTGTATTGATTTCACTGGAATTGTATATTAGATTAAAAAAGCCTTCTGTGTGTGCTGTGGAATTGAATCTGTCCTCTTGGAGCTTTTTTTTACCAGCTCTTGACTTCTGCAGCTGCAATTTTGAAATGTCATTTCCTGCACCTGCATGTCTAAATCCCTTGATTAGGAGAGTATGATGCTCAGATGTAAACTGAGATTTATTCAACATATCTGCTTGAGCCAAAGGTAGTGGTTGAACTGGGGATTTTGTCCTACTACAGATACTGACATAGCTGCTACGTGCCTTAAGCAGAAGTTCCAAATCACTGTAGGTGGACCTGTCACCATTTCAACAACCACTGATAACATTTGCACTAATGGGTGTGCAGGGAATGCAGTGCCTTTATAGCTTGCAACAAACTTTCATCCTGATACAGATGCCACTGAAAGCTGGTTTCTGCTCTACATATGTGAGGTGGTGATAATCTTTCCCTTGCTTGCCTAGTTGACTTTTACTATTTGCAATCTGTTGAAAATAAATGCAGTATTAGCTGTAGATTTCTCTGGGTTCAGTGTTGGACTTGGTAGAAAATGGCAGATGCAACATGTTTTTCCTGTCATGAGACTACCAAAGAGCTTGGGTAGACTGCAATTACAAGGAAATATGATTAGGACTTGCTATGCACTTAGGAACTCCTGTGCTACAAGATTTTTAGCAAAAACATAGTAGCCTTGTCACAAATAAGCCACTTCCCCTGTGGAGCTAACAAGAGTTCTAAGCTGGCTCTGGCCCATTACCCTTGTATTCTGCATAAGTTCTCTTGTGTGGAGACTAGACAGTCCTTTAAGATCTTGCTTTTACTGTTATCTCAACCTTACTGTTGCACCACTTAGGGAAGTTTGGCTTGCTTCTGTAGAAATCCAGGGAGAAGTAGTACATGACCTAAAATCTACATTCTTTTTCAGGCTGAGCCTCTAGTTGTTGATCTTAAGGACCTCTTCCAGCTAATATATAATATGAAGAAAAAGGAAGAAGAGCAGAAAAAGGTGAGTAAAATCATAGAAACTGCATTAATCTGCATAGAAATAAAGCTTGCTTCTGGGCTCGTCTAAGACTTGACACTGAAGTCTGTCTATATCCAGGATCACTTGAAGCTATTGACTAGTAGTTGTACCAGCAGTTTGATTACTTCCTAGATCTGGTAAGCTCTCCAAAGTGAGATACTTTATATATCATACATAATGTCTAGGTACTAAAAGCCACTTTTTCTTTAGAGTGAAGAAGCAAGACTGAGGTAAGTCACTCCAACACAGTCTCACTTAGGTACGCTGCTACAACACAACTAGCTTTGACTTCACGCTGCCAACACTATGGAGGCAATGTCAGATGCCCAATGACATTGAAATAGGAGTAAAAGGGTCTCAGAGCTAATACTGAGCAGTGGTCTGTCATACTTCCTTTTTTTGATCACTTGCTCTTTGAAGTCTGCGAGCCCCTTGGTTAAGACAAGTTTTGATATTCCAATTGTTGTAACAGTTATCCATCTATTACAGAATGGTAGCGAAGCATTACCTGCTGATCAAGCTGACAAAATGAAACAGGTAAGTTAAATTTTAAACCTTATGCTGATCCCATTAAGGAGTCCATAACTGACTGTCTCCAAAATGTGTGGGAAATGCACTGTTTATAGGTGTGTTTACAGAACATCTGTATAATGCTTGATTCTTGCTCTTGCAAGAACTCTAACACATACCAATTCTTTCAATATTTCTGGCTACAAGGGAGTTGACCAAATGGACTTATTTGGGGATATGTCAACACCTCCTGATATGAGCAGTCCCACAGTAAGTAGAATTTATTTTAGCTGTCTCTTCTCAAATTAAAAAACAACTTAGTCCTAGTAATAAGACCTGGTTTTACTTTGTTTAGTTGGTTTCACTGAGACATCTGTCTAGCTATTATCAATGTACTAGTGTCTTAGGCCTACAGTAGTATCCACTTACTAAATAGAGTAGCTAATGTTATTCTTACCTAGCAGAGTGTGCTTGAGACCTTATGACAGAGATAACCCTGTGTTGTTAATCATACAGTGGTTTGGATTGGGAACCCGAAAGATCATGTAGTTCCAACCCCCCTGCCATTGGGAAGGGGGACACCTCCCACTGGGTCAGGCTGCTCAAAGCCTCATCCAGCCTGGCCTTGAACACTTCCAGGGATGGGGCATCCACAGCTTCTCTGGGCAACCTCTTCCAGTGCCTCACCACCCTCTTCAGGAAGACCTTCTTCCCGATATCCAATCTAAACCTCCCCACTTTCAATTTAAACCTGTTACCCCTTGTCCTATCACTACAGGCCCTTGGAAAAAGTCCCCCTCAGCTTTCTTGCAGAACTGCATCCAGCCCTTTTCTACAGGTGCAGTCTCACAAGAGCAGAGTAGAGGGGGAGAATCAACTCCCTTGACCTTCTGACCGTATTTCTTTTTATGCAGCCCGGAATGAGATTGGCTTTTCCTGTGAGCACACTTTACCAGCTTGTATTCTGTTTCCCACCCACCAATATCCCCAAGTGTTTATCCACAGGGCTGCTCTCAATGCACTTGTCAGTCAGCCTGTATTTGTTCTTGGAATTGGCCTGACCCATGTACAGGACCTTGTCCTTGGCCTTTTTGGTTTTCATGAGGCTTTATAGTAAGATGTCTTAAAAATATATACTTGCAGTCCATGCCTCTGCTGCTATGAAGGCTGTTACAGAAACTCTGCTGAAGACCCTTAAAGTTCAAGTTGACTTCATTGACAAGGAAATCCTGGCCATTCTAGATAAGTAGCCCTAGCTCACTATGTGGCCTAACACCACAAAAGTGTGCATAAATCTTATAGCCCAGTATAACCCCAACATCCTACTGGCTTATTCTGGTACTGTAAGCCACTATCTGTCTTGATAAAATTGATGGTCCCAGTCCAGCTAATGACCAAGTGTTACCCTTCCACTGCCTACTCAGTGGAGAGATGGCTTGTTAACATCTTCCACTGTCAAATAGTGGTCTAATCTTACTCAAGCTGAGATTGCAACTTGGAAGACACACTAAGGCAGTGTGATTTCACAGCTTGTCAAAACAAGGGACTAGAACCCAAACAGGGGTTCTTGACTCAAGTGACAAAACTAGGTGTAATTAGGGCTTAATGACTCATGTCTTTAGGCTGTAGGGCATGTGATATTTAACTAATGGATCTTAAAACAAGTGCTTTCAGTATTGAGTTTCTGAAAAAGTAGCTGTGGGGTTGGGGTTTTTTTTACCACAGTCAGCAGTGCTTGCCTCAGTGACTTAAAAGATGAAGCTTTAGTGCAAGTTCACTGTGACACTGAATACTTTATTAGTGTAATGTATTGAATACTAGGGTATCTCCTTGCAGCTGTTTTCCTTGAGCTTGTGTACTGTGCAGCAAGTCCTGCGTAAAAACTAACTTCGTTTTTCTCTCTGAACAAATAGGAAGCTAAAGAGATTCTGTTAGTGGATCTAAAGTCTGAAATTGAGTCCAGCCAGACTTTTACAAAAGAGTATATCTTGAATGGCATCACCACTTCTCTACAACCAAAGCCACAGCCAGTCTTGCCTGAGAGTTCTCTCAATACCAGTCTCAGCTTCTTTCCCACACCTAATCCTGACCCTTTCAGTGATGATCCTTTCACACAGCCAGACCAATCTGCACCGTCTTCATTTGATTCTCTAAAATCTGCTGATCAGAAGAAGGAAAGTCTGAGTACCTTAACACTGGTGGGTAATGGTACTTCAAATGGTGATAGTGACTACTTTGGTAAACAGTTTGACCTGATTTCTAATAGAACTGGCAAACAAGAAGCACTAAAAAGCCAGTGGCCACTTGAGAGTAAGTCGCCTGCAGCAAGAACTCCAAATGGGGTACCAGAGAGAGAACAGAATGGCTTTTTTAAATCCCCATCAAACCTGTTTGTGGAAGGCCCTTCCAGAGGAGTATCGCTGCAGAATGGATTAAAGCTGGATTGTGAAAACAATATCCAGCCCATGTCACATAAGTCTGTAACAATTAGCCCACCACCACAAAGTACCAAGCCAGGAAGAGGAAGGAGGTCTGTCAAGGTGAACAATGTTCAAGTAATATATGATGATATGCATGCTATTACTTAATGAAGCTGGGTGAAGGAAGCTTTTCTTTCTTCATAGTGTATGGCTAGTTAAACAGCTTCACAACACATCTAATTCTCTTCTACCTGCGATGCTTACTCTAACCTCTCTGCAGCCATGAATGCATTCGTAAGTGCTTTATAGTAGCTATGGTCACTAAATTGTATACTCTCTTCCTTAATGCTGCCATACTTCTGTAAAGGTCTGGTAAGTATGCTGCTATGTATATTAACAGATTCTGGCATTATATGAAGTGTCATGATAGCTGTATGCCCATCAGCCTGTGGTTTCATAACAATGAGGTACCAATACTAGCTCACAGAAACCTACGTAGATTGAATTACCTGCCTACTGAGGGCAGTCTCAGTGACTTGCCTGATAAGACACAGGGTGGCTGTGGGTCAGCTGCATTTGTCTTGCACTCAGATGATGCAAAACTCTGCTGACCTTGCTGCAGCCACAGGGGTCACTGTGGTCAGGAATGGTTGGGGGGGGGGGGGCGGCGGCAGGGGCGGTAGGGTGAAGCTCATTATGATAGCAAGTAATACAACCACTTTATTTTTCTGCTATTGGCTTGACTACTACATATTATTCCTGCTTAATGCCATGCATCTCGCTAGGCCTGAACAAAATGGGGAAATTTGGTATTCTTATGCTTGTTATATAAAGGATATATCAAAACTCCCTGCTCTCCTCTAGCTGAAATAAAAACTTGTAGCATTGGACTAGGGAGTCTTGATCATGATACCTTGTGTTCTGCCATGCCATTTCAAAGTTTCCTTTTTTCTTTTTAGACTGCGCCAAGTGACTTACTTAGTTCGGACATTTTTGTGCCAACTACAGAGACCCTTAGCTTGACCTCAGTAACACAAACAGGACCTGTGACAATTAGTCCACTGGACCTCCTCAAAAGTTCTACCACAACACCTCCAATGCCTGCTCTAGGTTAGTTCACAAAGTGAAGGGCTTGCTCAAGTCTAAGGTATCTGCTAAGACCAAAACAAGGGTTCTATTTTTCCTTCATGTGCAGTGCCATGCTCTTTAATCCATATGCTGTCTACCCTAAACTATCAAGTTCTGTGAATAGAGGCTTTAACCCTGCATCCTTAGCTGGGACAGGGTGTTTTGCTTGAACTTCAGCAGCAGAGTGCTACTACAGGTACACAAGGCTCAAGGGAGCCAAGCACAACTTGGGAGGCAAGGGTAACACTGCTGCAGAGTCTTAATCACTCACACAGAAGTAACTGCATGGCAAATGCTTCTGTGCTGGGACTAAGAATGTTTCTCCTTCTGTTATATCAATCTCAATTCCATTCTTCCAGGATGGAAATGGAGCAAATTAAAACACTTTAATCCCCCTTCTCCCCTTTCCACCAAAAGACTTGATTTTTTTTTAATGTATAAAATTTTTGCAAACAGCACATGAAAAATATTTTGCTGGTACCCCTAGTGGAACTGATACACTCCTTCCTGCTTGAGGTATTCAGATCACTGAAGTGCTGTGTAACATCAATCTCTCCCCAGGTGGCTTGTCCATGACTTCATTAGTATGGAGTGCACAGACACCTGCCTTCAATCAGGCTTCATCAGTCTTTCCTGGGTCTGTGATGCCTGCTCAGCCTACAGGATTTACTCAACCACTTGCCTTTGGTACTCAAACACTGCCAATGTGGACCCAGCCTGCAACTTTTGGTCCAGCAGCCCCTCAGTCCTCTGGTGTCTGGGCACCACCAGCACAAGTTCCATCTAGTTCATGGGCCCAGTCATCCAGTGCTGTAAATCCTTTCCAGGGTAGTGTGTTCATATCTACAACACTCCCTGCTCAGACGTCATCTGTCCTGACCTCAGTAACAACAACAACTAGCCCACCTCAGCCACCACCTAGACCTACACCTCAGAAGGAGTTATCCAAGAAAGAGAGTGATGCTTTTATTGCTCTGGATCCACTTGGTGATAAAGAGATGAAGGATGTCAAGGAAATGTTCAAGGACTTCCAGCTGACAAAACCACCTGCAGTACCAGCAAGGAGAGGAGAGCAGCAGAATGTTTCAGGTAATTCTGGAGCTTTCAGCGGTTATTTTAATAGTAAAGTAGGCATTTCTCAAGATAGTACAGATCATGTTCACATGGAAGCTAGCAAGCTGTCTGACAAAATGACTGATATTTTTCTTTCTTGGATAGCTGCTCAGGGATTATGAGGGCTGATTACTAGCCTTTTCTGATAGAACTAAAAACTTGTTTTGATGCTTACTGAAACAGAGGGTTGAAGGCCTGTCCTAATAATGTTACAGAATTGATCAATGTCAGTGGCCAGACACTGACACCTAGTGCCTAAACTATTTGACTAGAGTAAGGTAGACTTGGACTCTAAAATGTTAGAAGTCCCATCTAGCTTAAGTGTAATGAGGGCCAAGCAGAGATATAATTTTGAGGTTACTCAAAGCAACTCCTCTATGGGGTTTTTTTGTACCTCATTAAACAAGCTTTGGTGTTGCTAGACAGGTGGAGCTGAGTACTTTTTAAAGCTGTTGTCAGAGCAGTGTATCTCTTTCTTCATTAGAGCGACCACAGCCTGTTCCCCAGCAAACTATGCTGCCAGCTAATGGCCTGTTTGAAACCCAAGCTAAAACGGAGTACTTTGGTGCCTCATCTGTAAGTATTAAAGAAAAAAACAAAACCCCCCACCTTCTCCTTAACAGAGGTGCTGATGTTTGAGCACTGCCTTCGTTCTGGCTTTGGAGGCCATGGAACAAAAATTATTGCATGTCTGAAGCTAATCTTTAATCTGACAGAGGGCCTTTGATGCAAGAAGGCTAACAAAGTATGATTCCATTTGGCTTGCGTCCATAAGCGGATGCCCAAGCTGTAAGCCCTAGCAGGAAATTCTTCAGTATTGGGAGCTTCTACAAAAGATTGTAAAAATAATGCAGCTGCAGAAGTCTTCTCCTTGGAAGACTTCACCCCTATGTGGACTAGACTGAGAGTGTGGACTGTGCAGGTCTTGCTGGACGAATGAGAAGCCTCCTGTGTTCAGCATCCCCTCAGGGAGGAAGCGGCTTAACCACATTGCTCTGTTTGGGATGTGGCACTTAAAGCCCTTGGTGGAAACTCTGGATCAGTTTCAAAACACTGAGTTAATACACTTAGCATTTAGTTAAGACAGATCTTATAACTACACATAGCTTCTCTGAAAGATACCTTGCCTCAGACTAGGATAACTGGTAACATGGCTTTAGAGCCCTCTTCTCCTGTTAAAGCAGTACAGTTAATGTATATGTAGCAGGGACTTTGTAGTATTCTTTCCAGGTGTTTGGTACAGGAACTAGCTGATACAGCCATGCGGAGTAAATCTGCTGAAACTTGGATATCCTCTAACAGTTTATGATCTTTTTCCTTCAAAGGAATCTCTGAAACCATCTTCTGATCCCTTTGGTGACCCTGTTGGCAACCCATTTGCATAGATGAGGTAAGTCTTACACTAGTAACAAAGCCTACTTCATTCTCTGAAATTAATTCAGAAAACCTTTGGTAAAGAGCTGGCTAAAAACTATGGGAGCTTAACTCTAATGCTTCTCTGAAGTATGGCAAACAGTCCCTAGAAGAACACATCTTCTAGAATACCTCTACTCAGGCTAGCATGTAGCTGCATTCTGGCTAAGCCTAGCCAGCTTCACGTTCTTAGAAATAAAGATTTTATTCTTCTACACAGTTAAGTCTCAAAGGTACAGTAGATCTAGATATTTCCTTGAGGAAAGCTAATGAGCAAATATGTATGAGCTGCAAAACTCAGAGGGGCTGACTAAATTAGAATCGCAGAATGGTTTGGGTTGGAAGGGACCTTAAAGATCATGTAGTTCCAACCCCCTGCCATGGGCAGGGACACCTTCCACTAGACCAGGTTGCTCAAAGCCTCATCCAGCCTAGCCTTGAACACTTCCAAGGAGGGGGCATTGCTAAATTCCTTCAGATATCTCTTTAGGAGAGTCTTTGTGCACCATGTCCCATACAGCTCCCTAGTTTAATCCCTTAAATAATTGTTGGTTTGTATTCTGGGCAAATTGGAGTAAAACAGAGTAAGGGCAGTTATGAGAGCTTTTGTTACTAGAAACTAATTTAACTCAAACTCTTCTACCACTGACTAGAGAACATGAATTTGTCAAAGTAGCAAATCTATTCCTCAACTACATCTTTAAGTCTTCTCCTGAAATATTGTCTGCCTTCTAACAGAGGTCAAGTGTTGCTATTTATTGCCTTAGTTTTGTCCTTAGTGGCTCTAAACTAGTTTATGCAATACAACTATAACGTACAGTCATCCTAACCCTAAGTCCTTTTCATCATACTAGGCATAACCAGAAAAGGACAAATGGAATAACTGGACCTCTTCTCAACATGATTTTTCTACACGTTTCACTTTGTTTGTCACTTTTGCTGCTGTTCCATGATGTCTGTAATCTAAACCATGTCTGGGTGGATTCAAACACAAACCCTCAAAGAACATGCTGTGAAGATGATAATTCAGGGCAAAGCAAATGGAGAGCTGGACTCATGGCGGAGACCCAAATTCAAATTGGTGGATGTTAACTTTACTTTAGTTCTCTACAATCTTCCATAGAAAAGCTTAGCAACACTAACTCTTGTCTTGTATATATGGTCACCACAATTCTTCTTTCTGTAGCAGTTACTGTCCTAAAATATAGGACCTGAATGTACCTGGGGAAGAAGTGTTGCCTTCACATAAGGGGATTGAATTAGTAGTTAAATTCTGCACCTTAAACAACTTGGTCAGTTGCCTGTTATCACACAGCAGCCAGTTGTGAAGTTAAGTGGATACTACTTGTTCTAATTGGTGATGAGGCATGTGACTTGGTTGCTAAGTCAAGTGTATGGGGAAAAATATTCATTACTTGTCTATTTTGCTAATGGTGAAGTAGCATTCTACCATAAATATGTAATAAAGGGACTAACTATGGGGTCTGTAACAGAACTTGTTGAAGTCCTGGGTATTAAGAGGCCTACACTGTAGGGTCGTAAGCTGGAATGCTTCTTGCAGAATGCAGAGGTAGTAATGGATACTAACTGTTGTCTTGGTGCTAATATGGCCTTTTTCAGGGAGGGAAATTTTACTAGGATTACTTTTCTATTAAGCTGGCTTGACAGACAAATGGAACAAGCAGATGGGCTTCTTGCATATATGTCAGTGAATGTCCCTAAAGTTGCTCAGTTTGAGTTGTCACATAGTGTAGTGTGACATGTTTCCAGTATGTTAGATAGTAAAAAAAATCATGGCTTCACTCCATGCTTAGATTTCTTGTGAACAGATACACCAACTCTATGCCATTAATGTGATGTAGTCCTCCATCTCTTGAAAACTGCATTTTCTGAAGGACCTCTTTACTAACAGATCCTTAAATCAGTTGGTTATAAGTGACTGTAACAGCTATGTTCTTGGGCAGGGGGTGATGGCTGATGTGTCAGAGGTCTTTCTGTTAATACTAAATATAAACTTGAAATAGTAGTGTTAAATCAAGTACCTAAAGTGGTTGCTGAACTGAAGAACTAAAAGTCAACTTGAATGCTTTAGTAACCAATTCAGCCAGTCATGCAATTAGTCTTGAGTATAAACTTCTTGTACTTACTGTAATGCAAAAAAAGCTATGAATTTAAGTATTTGTCTCAAACTGGAAATGTAGAAACTTATGGATGTGACACTTATGTAAACTGTAGTATCTCAAGTGATGTTACCTAATGACATTAAACAGGAGCAACTCTTCATACCAAATGCACATCAGTGTGGCTGTTGATTCTGTCCTTTAACTCAATCTTGTTGTCTAGTTGACACTACAAGTTCAGAGCCTGCTAATTGTTTCTCACAGGTTCTTGTTACAGCTTTCTGATAGCAAGGTCTTCAGTCTCTCTGTAGGTTCTTGTATCAGGCTTGTTCAAAAAATGCTGTCCCATCATAAAAAAAACAATTCCCAGCTGTCTTAGTAAAACTGTCATTAGGAGCTTGTGCTAGTAGCAGCAAACTAAGGCTGAGCAGCTAATGAAGATGCTTTCTTGCTCCCTTGTGCAGGACTATGGAAGTTGGGTACCTAAATTGCATTCACAAGTTTAATAAAACTTGTCTGTTCCAACTTTGCAGGAGGTCTAAGCTGATGCTGGGAAAATTAAATTAGAAATTTAGCTCATGTTCTCAACAAATTTTACAACTTTATGCAGATGGTTAAAAAGAATAAATCCATTGAAGTTAATGTTTTAGACCAGCCTTTAGTACTGGAGGCTGTAACTGTCAGCCTGATGTGTCACTGAATAAATAGAATCTTGCTTACTTTTAATACTGTTTGATTGTTATGGTTAAAGGATTGAGAACAACTAATTGAAAGGGAGTTGGTATCTAGGTTGAAATATAGGTTTTATAGTCCTTCACAGACAAACACTGGGGATATTTTTTTTGGATGCATGGCAACATGTAATTTAATACTCCAAGGTACTATTAGAACAAAAAACAATTGACTATCTTTATGCTTGAGTGCAGGAATATGTTTACCAGCATTTGAGTCAAGCGAAAATTAATGGTCTTGCTATGCTGGAGTTCTGAAATAGTTGTCAGTCTGATCACCAAGACCTGGCTAGCAGGACCTCTTACAAGCTGGTCAAAGATGCTTGGTGGTTTGCTAGCTTAGTCTAAATAGCTGCTTACTCTGATTTAGTCTCTGTCTTGAAGAACCATGAACTGTGGTGTATATAGCATCTGTTGAAGCAGGTATGATGGAACAATACAGTGCTACAGGTGTCTGTCTTGTATTCTTGCTCAACAAATAAGTTTACTGCAACTGGACTCATCAAGACCGGCTGAGACTATGTCAGATTTAAGTTCCTCTAAATTATCCCAAATTAATGATTGAATAGAGGGGAAAAAATTGTCTTCCTATTCCACACCCTCCCTTCTTCCTGGCACAAAAAGGGGAGGTCAGAAAAATTAAAAGTAAATCTTTTACTTACCCATGGTAATTTGGAATATCCTTATACCAGATAAGAATTAAATATCTGGATGGAAGATTATAATAATTAATTGCTACACAGCAGGTTATTTATGAGTTACTTCTGTCTTGTGACTGTGTCTAACACATGATGCCTTAAAGCTGGATCACAGCAAACTACTGAATAGGAATGCCCTTGTAAAGAGATTGTTTGTGGTTTGGGTTTTGGTGACAGAGTGAAAATTTGAGGAGTTTTAGCCTCCTTCAAAACAACAAACAAATTTTGGTGGTGTTTTTATGTTGGCTGCAGAGGAAGAAAAAGGAATCTTGGGACTTTATTCCTCCAGTACCCCAAATAGGGGTTCTAAAGATGTTAGATGCTTAACTTGCTCTTGTAAACAGCTTTGTTTTAGGAACTACTTGTTCCTTATATGAGTCACTGATGTGACAGCTTTTTACTAGGCTGTTAACTGTTCTCTAATTAAATAGAAGGGTCTTTCCAATATTTAAAAGATTTTATTAATAAACAAAAAATTGTTTTTAATCTTGGAAGTACTTTAAACTATTTCCCAGTCATGATGCAGGAAAAAGTAGAATTTTCTAAGAAGTGGACTTCAGACCACTTACCGTAAGGCAGTTTTGGCCAGTAACTGGCATTCTTCAGTAAACACTGCTTTTTGTTTGTTCTTTTGGTAATAAATAACAAAAACAAATAAAGAAACTACAAATTTCAGTCATGGCAATTCCTGTCTATTCAGCTACAAAATGAGAAGGATGCATGTTATCCTGCAGCTTATATCCATACTGTGCAGCTTAGAGGTGGCTGTGGGGGAAAGAAGGTAAGTGTCTTTGTTCTTCTGCAGATGTCTATATTGTTTTGTTTCTCCAACACCATGCATAATCCTCCCATGCAGGCATTTCTAATGGTAGCCTGCTCAGATATCCAGTGTAAAAGGAAACTACTTCTCACTGTATTTCAGGTCATCAAAGAAGTAGTTTATCCATTTATTTTGGATGTATGTGGCATAGTAAAGGTGACTGATAGCTGAAGCCATGTTCTTGCAGGGACATGGAGCTCAGGTAACTGTTCTCCATGCTGAGTGTGAAAATATAATCTAATCTTAGTCTGTTTCTTTCTGAAGAAGCACCATTTTATGATGACAGTACTTTTATTCCTATTTACAGCCTTCTAGACTGCCTAGTTCTAAATCTTTGGAAATAAAGCCTTTGTTTTTTCCACTGTATCACTAGATGGAGAACTAAAGGCTTAGTCCCTACAAAATATCACGTGAAAACAACTGAAGACCTACACTACCAGAAACAGAGCTGCTTAGTCTATATGCCATTTATAAGAATGGGCAGTACTAAGTGGTGCAAGAATATTAGTCTCATAATAGATACACGTATGTGAAGAATAAATTGGGATCCATCTGCTTTAAGACTCAAATTGCAGCATGTGAAGCATTTTTTGACATGTGAAT